AATTATCGAATCGAACAATTACTGTTGCAAATCATCTCTCATTATTTGTTATTTTAACAAACGCATATATTACCTGAGATATGCAAATTACATTTGTTCTCGTCCATTTAGTTTAGGTTAATTATATCTCTATTACAGCAGCGTTGCTTAGAAACGCTTTCAATTTGCTACAGCAAATTGAAAGCAACAAATTATTTGTTCCCACCACGGGGGGTCATTTGCTGTCTCATATCAACAAATTTATTTCGGATTTTGGACTAGAATTTTGTTAAAGCAAAACTATTTCTCTCAATGCATCGGCGCAATCTGCCTTCACACAATTGCATTCGCGTCACGCCCGAAACGAACGACCTGTGTCCTTGTTTCCAAAAAGTACTTGTTAACGAATCATCTAACCGATTTCCACCATCTTTATAGAATCGCACAATGATGTGAGGCCTCAATGTGTAAAAAAGAGATTCATAGGTAATTGTCGGCGACTTAGAGATCGTCTTAATGCCTCAAACAGCAGGTTTTTGCACAACGCACACAGATATTCCGCAGGATTCTAGCGTGGGGATGTTAACGCGACATTACACTAATGCGATCTGATAGCGTTATCACTTGGCGATACGCCTAACAATGAGGCGTCTACCAGAGGCTCGTCACTTGATCTATACTGGCGTGACCGAGCCGCGTCGCAATTTACTGTGATCGTTACAGGGCGACGCTGTGTCGTGCGTCGTGCAACAGATGTCTAACGAGAGCTATCCGCAATTCGCTGACAGAATCGATCCAATTAGCGATCGAAAAGCGCGTGTCGTGTAAAGACGCGCATAAAAATGCATGACAGAAAAAAATTGGAATTTCCCAACGAAGTGACAGCCGCTTTTTGTTGTTGAAAGCTCAACTCACGCTCCATTTTCTTTTTTCATACCTTGTATGGAAAGAGATGCAAAAATCTATACCGTATATATATCCGTTTGATTCCAACTCTTTTCTAAGAACTAAGTTCGCTACGTTATTTTCTCTTCCTTTCTTTCGCGACACATATCGACAATAAATTCGATTCTATCGTTCACTTTGAGACGTTACCGAGTATCGCGTTACGGGATGTTACGGGGGCAAAGCGCTGGAACAAATTCGCGACAAAGTGGAAACCGCGACATTACATTAAAAAAGCGCACGTCACCCGCACATGAGAACCCGGAGGAAAAGCAAAATCATGCAAAAGCAAACATGTTCTTCCTCACGGAAACGAGCGCTTTTTGCTCTTGTCTAATTTAGATCCGTATTGTTTTGCCAAGTAAGCGCTCAGTAATTAATCGCAATTGCTCGGCCGAGTGGTCGGCAGATCAAACGGCGTCAACCTCTCTTATCGTTCGTGCGAATAATTGCTAATTACTAAGTCCTAGTGATGCTTGCCAGAGAAGCCGACTCTGTCGTGCATTCCAGACGTGGAAGAGGAGAAAACCTTGCGACAAGGCGTTACTTTAAATGTGCCAAGAGTCACGCAGACTACGTGAACATTACGCGTAAAACAACTTTGAAAAAAGTGACTTTCGGGAAGCGATGCGAGGCAAGCTTCAAGACGGAGTTGCGAATTGCTTCGTGCGAAAATCCGAGGAGATGACAGTAAACTCTAGAATTACACAAAGAGTATCTAAGGAGCCATTCAACGTTTACGTCATATCACTTGGAGAAGGGGGGAAGGACTGTGCAAGGCTACACGTATTCTGTATCTAAATTTTTATATTTGGAAATATTAAATTCTATAAAAATAATTTAACTTTGTGTTGACAATCAAAAGCATAATTTTGAAATGTTTATTTTCTTAAAAACACAACGTTTGCTAATTAAGATTATAAAATAAACTAATTAATTGGATATATATATATATGCTTAAAAAATATTTATATTTTGGAAACAGAGCGCGGTCTAATAATCATTGCTCGTGGGATTCTTTTTTATTCTATGTGGAGGGAAGAAGTAATTCCACATGCTCCATGTAACATTGGAAGACGGTTCAAGCTTCGTGACGAAGGGGAGGATAAAAATATTCAAATTTCGCGTGACATAAATGTTAAATGGCCCTCAATGGATATGCAAAAGACGCGCGATAGAGTAAAGCGTTTAAACGACTGTGACGGGTTCAGTGGACGACGAAGTCAACAGAGACGACTTATTGACGCTACATTCACATCCAAGTGTCGAGATTTCGCAATTTCGCAAAATCGTTTGGCCAATTACAATGCATGAGTAAGTGAGGAGTAATTTTATTTCAATAATTTCTCTCTTTTTATGCACGAAGATTCTCTGCGTATTACTCAGTCTTGTTTCTCAGTCAGAGTATCAGCCAATTACCGAATGATGATCGCTGGATTCAATTTAGGATGTCCGATGAGAAAGAGAGAGAGGGAGAGGGAGAAATTAACGTTATCACTTCACCACTAGGTCGCCAAGCAAACTACATTGAAAAAGCTATTCCAAGTTTTGCGCGCACGTGAGCGCGAGCGCAGTTATCCGAGAGATTATACGGAAACTTTTCACCGAAACAGCTCGCGCGCGCAGCTTTCGTACACGATTCCGTGTGGACACATGATTCCTCCCTTGAAGTTTAGATGAAACTTGATATTAGTCCATTAAGATTCGTCGGGTGAGATCAGCATGGCAGTGCGCGGGCGCACCTTGCACTCGCGAGCCTCCAAAATTGTCGGAGCACCCTCGAACGGCGAAAGGCGACGAAGTCCGATATAATTCCGAGCGATTGAGGGCCGGAGAGGCTGCGTCCGCGGAGCGGCGTCTAGGATAGCGAGATTGCTTGCCGGGGCATAATTTAAAGCGACCGGGTTCTCGCTGAAATTGAGCCCGCGCTTTATTACTGGACCAGTCCTCGGCTTTGCCGACTCGCAAGGCCTCACTCTCGACGGCGGCACTGGCGTTTAAAGAGGCACACGTGTTGTCGAAGATTGCGGACGTTCCGAGTGTGCTGAAGTGCCGTTTTAAAGAACCATGCCGTTTCCGACAGCCGGCGGAAGAATCGCGTGTGGATCGAGGGGTAACGGCGCGCCGGAGGTGTCTGAGGATTTCAGGCGTAGTCTGAAATTTCGGTCCAGCGACCCTGAGACGAGGAGCAACGGCGGTGGTGGCGGCGACGGCGATGACGATCGATTTCGGAGGAGCAACAAGAGCGAACACGACGCGGTGAGAGGCGGGCGGGTCAGCAGTGCGGCCGCGTACTCGCGAAGCAAGTGTTGCGTGTAAGGAAAAATAAAGTGACGAGGGAAGATGCATCGTCGCCATCGTGAGCTTCATTCGACTCGCTGAAAATAAACACGCGCACCACCTCCCAACGGGAAGCCCCTCCGTGCGCGTGACGTCTCGTAACGAGAATCATTTTACCACGACGGTGACTGATCTTTAGAGGCGGAAGGCTGCATTGCGAAGTACTTGCTGTAAAAAGCGGAACCTTGAAGTCGTCTTATCGCCAATTACAAAGCGAAAGGACTCTTTATCCGTCTACCCGCATTTAAATTGCGAGAGATCATTTTCTCTTTTTGTTTTATTGGACGTCTTGATTTACTTGATTCCACAGGGGATTTTCGATGCGGGACACGGCGAATAGCGAGAGTTGCGCGGGGGATTAGACGATGAGGAAAAATGCGAGACTCTCTCCCGGAGTTCGTCACAGCTGACTGAATTAGATAGATGTCCGGGAGCTGACGTAAACGTCAGGAAGTTCGCATCTTTTTTATTCGATTGCATCGCGTGTTTGGTTCATGTGTTTTTTTAAAACACGTCGGACATCTGCACAGTGAATTAAAAAAAAATTGGATTTCCGTCCATTTGTGCGCGATTCAATCAATTACACAAGTGTAAATTTTAAAAGTTTCGCGTTGACGCATTTTACACGTGTTCAGCGACCAGTGGCGCAAAAAACCAAATGCGTCTAACGAATCACGAGCCGAGCTTGTTGGAGGTTTACTTATCATTTTTTTATGAACAACTCACGGCCGCCTCTGGAGTATGTAGCGTACGCGGGCATGTGTGTGCACGCGTGTACCTTGCACGATTCAAGCATTTACGCGAAGTGAGAAACTGTGTTCAAGGCAGGAGGTGGCGTGGCCTAGAATATTTGTGTGGGGAGATCAGAGGTAGCATTTGTGGCGAGTACGGCGAAAATGCACCGCTCGTGCCGGAATTAGCTCCCTTTGCAACATATAAAATAATTATATTAATGTCTGATGAAAATGAACTCGACTAGCTCTCTGCCTCCGTAAAATTTACCCCCAGCTTCACGAACATCGCGACTACGATAAGCTCGCCATTTGTCGTTAGCAAAGATACAGCAGGAAATTTACCAAATTCGCGCTCAATTACAGAATGACGTCCATAATGATTCAAGAACTCTCAGTTGTTCAATCAATCGTGAAAGATCCCGGCCAATAAGAGTCAAACGGGGATTTAGGGGGCGCGGTGAATCACAAGTTACAGTAGACACGGTAAACGAACACGCGATTAATTGACAAATGGGATTTCCGCCTTCGTTCGAGATATCTTCCGATAACGGTCCCAAAACATTTGTGCGTCGAGAGAATTCGTAACATTAATTTTTATCCAAACGAAAAGAAATACCGGAAATCTCCCATTAAAATGAAGGAATACGAGTAAATCTATTCACTTAGTACATATTCATTTTATATCTCCGTGCAATCGATATTTACATGGAATATTAATATTAATATAATTAATATTTCACATACTGAGAACGCGGATTTCCACGCTCGACTCTCTATCTATCTATCTATCTCTACTATACTGTACTCTGCTCTCTTTCTCTCTTCCCGTCCAGTCCGCGGGAATCTCATTCATATTTATGCGCGATCGCGCGCATTCTAATTACTCCGGAAGTTCGCTTATATTCGCAGATTCAAGCGACTGCATTTTCGCGCTGGCCTCGCTTCGAAAGTTCGCCAAACTGTTCGCGTGTCGCGGGACAGGATTCCCAGGTAGCTACTTACGTGGTCGAGCAGGTGACGCGTCGACGACGAGAGCGTGCGTATGCTTGGTACCGAGCGCGGGAAAGCGGCGCCGACGGTTTCCCGAGACGTCGACGTATACGCTGTGACTGCGGATTGCTGTGACGTCGCCGCGGTCAGGACACGGCTGCACCGCGAAATCGGAACTCCCGCGATTATGTGGTCGACGGCGCTGGACACCCGGACGAGAGTGTGCCGTTCCCCCAATGGCTGTTGCCTGCTACCTGACACGCTGGCAGACGAATACGGCAATGCGGGCGAGCTAGCTCTGTCCGGTACTTCGGTATCGCGCCGGGTGCTATCCTCGATGCTTTCAGTCGCGTCTGCGCTCTCGTAACCTTCCGACCTTCTTCCACCTGCGCACCACCACTGGATACGCCGTTCCGCGTATACCGGAGTGCAGCCACGACGGCGGTCTCTCTTTCGCTTCGTCGACAGGCCTCCGTCGGCAGGCCGGTCTTCTTTCTCGAACGGCTACAACTGACGGAGCGGGGTGAATGCTTGGACCGACACGAAGCTTCGCTCGCGAGAGAACACTACAATACCACGTTCCTGATCATTTCGTCGAAAGCGATTACAAAACAAAGATTAATATGCACGCGTGTCCGTACACTTAATACTCAAAAAAGCAAATGTAAATTTACATTTTTTCCGACCGCGTGTGCGCGAGAGCGCAGTGAGGTGACGTTTGCTCGCTGATCATTTCGGCTGTAACTTTTAAATAAAGATCTACGGTGACCCGGTCAGCGAGCTAACTGAAACAAATGGCCGGGTTGCGCTTCGACGTTACGAAACGACGTTACGAGTCGCACGACATTAAATTAAATTACTGGCGAAATAACTTTCAGACTGTGTGGCGGAAAAAATAATTCGGGCTTATCCCGCGGATTACGCGTATTTTGTTTATCGTCCGTTCGCACGTAGCTTGCGAATACATCGGGTTTTCGCGACTACAAAGCTGATTACTCGAAAGTTACGATTGGCGCGTCCCGATTCGAGTATTCCACGAGAAAATCAAACGTTCGCGAATTGTTACGGTCGAGCTCTGACCACACCAGCTTTCGCGTACAACTGCCCCGAAGCCGCTGCCGATGCCGAGTGAGACGAGGTCAATGTTTGCGCGTGAAACTTCGACGTGAGATTGAAGCTCCTTTGACACTACCCCATTAAGTAATCCTCGTATCGATCTTACGACGAGCTCGCCGCAGGAGACGCAGGTGAATCGGCGCCGGTATGTTCGGTGCGACGCGCGTTACGAATGGAAAAGTTTACACCATCGATTGGACCCATGTGTCGCGCTCGGTACGTGTCCGTTGTCGTTTTTTGCTCGAAAACTCGATTCGATCCAGTTCTTTCCGATAACTCATAATCGCAGGGCGCATTTTGCGAATCTTTAGCACTGTTCTCGTTTAAAGAAAACGGGAGTATCTTCTCTTTGATAATTTTACAGTACTTCTGTATTAATGATATCTGATATAATGATATAAGATGTGAATAGATCTTTTTGGAACGCACGATATGTGAATGGAAAATATAATTTTTCTGCAGTTTATACCAAAAATTTCAGCCGCGTCTGACCATATGGAAGTTTTTACTACTTGGGGAAAGCGAGAGAGGCAACTTATTCTTGGATTCTTACGTAAGGAAATCAAGTACTCTTGCAATTTCTCTCTCTAAATATACAAAGAATAAATATACAAAGAATGATTTTCTCAGAAATAAGTCATAATACGTCCAATAATGTCTTCAAATTAATAGCTCTCAATTTCAATGCGATTTATGCAATAATGAGGAAGATCTCATAAATATTGATGAGAATATTTCCAAGACAGAAATATACGTTCTTTGCACTATTTCAATTTTCGAAAAACAAAGAACGCCGCAAATATCAATGTTTAAATCGGGTTTGTTAATAAAGAATTCTTTATTGCGTTGTTCATCTCGTTTTTGAGAGATCACTTGCCAGAGAGATTTAATAAACGAAGATCACGCGAAGAACTTTATACGAAGGATTAATCTCACAAATGATTGACACACGCTCTAACGGGGGAAGATTTCAAATACTTGCTACTCTCACAATGAATCGCCTTAATCAAATTTCGTATGTGGCACGCTACTTTAAGCAACGACCTGACATCTCGCCATAAACGCGCAATTTCCAAGTATATTTCGGCGAGAATGACGACGAAACACACCGATGTCTACGCGTTTTCCTTCCCCTAGTTTCCCTTTGTAAAGTGCTCCTTTGTCAATAACGGTGGGTTACAGCTTTTAGTAGAGTATAGGACCAAACGAGCTCGCGAGAATTTGCGCATGACATGACGGTAAACGGACGAATATATGAAGACATGAATTGATACTTAGAACTTGAATGTAATTCTCAGTAATTTAGTCGTTCAGTTCTCTTCTTCCTTAATTACAACTTTGTCTTCACTGTACATTCGTATGATTGTGCCTTTTTCATTTGTACCGTTCTTTGAAGAAGAATTAATTAAACCTGTTCTTTTAAAACATGTACATTCTACATTCACGTTTTCTCTTTTTTATTCTTCTCTCTCTTTCCCAACTCACATGCATTCACTATATTGTAGGTCACTTTAATTCGACCAAAGAGTGAATTCCAAAGAGAAATATATATCTGTATCCAAGTAATACTTAAGACAGCTAGGGACGAAAAAGGCAGCGAGGAGGTAATGTCATCTCATCGACGCTCGGATATCTTAAGACAGTTTCGTGAATACAGAGACAAGAATAAAGACAACTCGTGCTCTCGTGGGATATAAAAAATAAGATCCGACGTTCGCTCAGCTCGAGCAATTCGACTTATTCCTGGCCGGTGGGCGTATTTTCATCGAGAGTACGTTACCTCCGCGCACTCGGAGGGTGAATAATTCGTTCCGACAGGATTTAACTTCGTTCTCTCGAGTGTCCGCCGCCTGCTCTTTTCGCAAAAGCCGTTCCGGTTCTCTTCGTCGACGACAGTAGGGACTCGTAAGTAGCGAGGAGTCTTGCCTCGCGACGATACCGTAGCGCCCTGTACTTCTAATTCCATCGTATTAAGTACAACGACAATGAAAGTCAAGAGGACATTAACTGACCAAAGGAACCCGTTGGGATTGATCCTTTGCGACGCTTTGCGAATAGATTTTGTTTTTATTCATTGAAGTGATTCTAGATTGCCCACGAATGTCGCTTAACTGAAATATCAAAGTCAAAGCACAGAACGCGCAACGAATGCTGATGAACAAATAAATAATTGGCTCATAAATATAGCTACATAAGAATGTGATAACGCTACACGATTACTTAAAATTAAAAGCACGAAACGTAACGAACGTAATTGTGAAGCGTTGGATTTCTGGAAGAAGGATCCTTCATTCACAGTATTATCTCGCGCCCTTTCGGATTCCGGTTAGGGGCTAAGTTGTAAAAAATGTGGACGTTTACATCTGGATATACATGTAACGCGCACTTCGTTGTGAAACCCTCGTCAGTTCCTGCTGACCCAACGGAATTTTCAATCTTTTTTTATCTGTCGACAAAATAGCCCCTGAGGAGCACCCATGGTATTCGCCGACGGCAAGGTTGCCACGGTCCGCCCACGCATTGTTCCGGCCGTGAAACCGCAAATTCTCACGAGCCGCGTCCCAGCTCAACACGAGAGCGCTCGCTCCGCTAAATAACCAATATTTCATTAGCACCCGAGTCCGATTTCTCTCTCTCTTTCTCTCTCTCTCTCTCTCTCTCTCTCTCTCTCTCTCTCTCTCTCTCTCTCTCTCTCTCTCTCTGCACAAACTACCCGAGAGACATTTTCACGGCGGGTGATCCCATCCCTTGACTTCCTCGCGAGCGACAGACACGGACGAGCGAGGCGCAATTTCAACGCGATATAAACTGCGCCGCGAACGAACGACTGGATAATTTTCCGCTGGATTTCGTTCTGCATAATAGATATCTCGGGGTTTTATGAGAAACAGCGTGTCTCGCATTTTCGTATTATCGTCGATACGCGATACCATTCCCCGCTGGGATTCCGTTTTAGGGTTATACGCACGAGCTGAGTCGAGAGCGCGCGCTGGAAAACGGCTTTCGACTTCGGATAGAAAGAGTACTCGAACCTTCGACGTCTCCTCCATCGACCGCGAGAGCGTTTAGTGAATACCCCCTTTACAGCCCCAATCCTTCCCGCTCGGTCGGTCTCGTACTTGTAAATATACCGAGACATATCTTTACGACGCTCTGGCGTTGCTGGCGGACGCGCTCGCGAGCCACCCCCGTGAACCAGCCTGAAAGCCGTCGTTAAACTTTCACCTCTAAAGGCCGATCTACATAAGACCCAGGACACGGATCGCAGCTCGCAAGATCAGACGCAGCATGACGTATTTGCGATCGTTGCCAGTCACAGACTGCAATACGCAAAAATTGGCGTTGATAATGCGCTCTCCTTAGGACCAAGCATAATGATTGGTCGCATTCTGTCCGTCAGGATGATGTGAGTAGAAGTGAGAGAGAAGCTCTAAGACTGACAAAGCATGTTATAGCTTCTCTCTCTCTTTCTCACTTACTCATTCACTCACTCACTCACTTCTTCCTTATAAATGGCGGGCAATGTCAACTCGACCAACTCAAAGGCGGGCCAACTCTGACTCGAAGAACTCTAGGCTGCGACTTCGCAGCCGCAGATGTGCGATGCGCTCGCTCGTCGAGAAGAAGCAACGACCGGATTGTCGTACGTTGCCTCGACGTTCTCGACGAAGACTGACAAGCGCCCCTAAACGCTGAACGATGTAAAATCGATGCCGCGATAAGCTCAGGGTGAGCCATCGCCGTCGTGGCTGCCACTGCTGCTGCTGCTTAAAATTCCTCGCGAAAGTTTTTACGCGCGCGCGGAGCCGACCTTTCTTCTATTGGGATTTAAAGGGGATACACCGGCGTGAATCCTCCGGCGGGTTGATCTCCTTCATTCCGGGGTACCTCCGTCTCGGATGAGAGACGTATCCCAGCTACTTGCAAACTCATCTCGAAGGAAAGGCTCGCGGTAAACTGGGAACCTTGGCATGCGCGTCAGCGGGATTTTTATACGTGGACTCGCGCTTTCAGCGCTCACCGTGATTACGGACGTATTTTGTGGCCCACCAAGAATAACTCGTAATTCCCGACATATTAAACGAATTTAGTATATTAAATAGCCAAGGCTGCAGAGGCTGGTTTTGCGCAGGGTCTGCTGTAAATCTGATCAGCAAATTGCTAGCAAAAATACAAAATCGAACAGGATTTGCTGTTTCACAACCATTTAAATGTATTTTAATGACACATAATGCGAATTCTCCTCGACTGCTGCCGCCAATCTGCTATCAAGTTATGTCAGCAGCTTCTGTCGATAGAACACGAGCTTAATGCGGATACAGATAGCTATGATCGAATCCGCTGCCAATTTATCGACGTACTGTTAACAATTTGTTTATTGAATAGATGAAATCTCGAGTAAACAGAATGCTCAACTATAGATGAAATATAGAAGATTATTTCCCTTATACAAGGAGTTTTTTAATTGTCTTTATTCTCACGAAATGAGAAGTTCACATCGACAAGGATTAGCAGCTTGCGCTTTTTCTTGCATCTTTCTTCTCCTTCTTTATTGAAATTGTTATCGTACTATACATTTATTCGCTCAAACAGCCAATTATCGCGTGTCTCTCGGTTCCCTAACTATTATTTGTCAGTGAGGTCATTTATGTAGAGCCCGGGGATTACAGAAGAAACTGGTCCTAAAAGCGACGCGGGTATCTTTGAGCCGGGTTTACCGCTTTAAGCTAAGCTCTTTTGAACCACGTACAATAGCGTAACAATCTCTGAATTTCCTTGTGTACAGCGAGACGTGATCATGCGCGCCATAAGCAAACCGTATTCGATGATACAAAATTTACTTCGCGCCTCCGTCTTACGCCGGCCGAGAAAAGTTGTGGAGTCGCTGCCGTCATTTTGGCGGGATCATTAATTTTAATAATGCTCTTTTCTCCCTCTTATTTTACCACTACCATGAAAATCTGTCCGTGTTGTCAATATAAAATTCGATGGCACTGTTTATTAATGATGCAATCCGCGGCTCCGACGTTTCTTCGTTACGCCGAACTTTTTCACCGAATGGAACTGAATTATTTTCAGTGCGACGTATCGGAAATAACAACGGATAAGCCGATGAAAGCGCGTTTAGTCGCCCACATATTTGCAGTTTACTGTGGCAGAGGACGGAACCTGTTAAAAATACGACTATTCTGGACGTTTGATCGCTTTACACGCAGCTTACAACTGAGAACGTGATTACCTTAAGCCGGGAACGTGATTGCCGCGGGCGTAATTTGCCTCCGATTATTCGCTGAGAGCAATTGTTTTTGCGAATCAAGTAGCAGCAGCAGCAGCAGCACAACAGCAGTAGCAACAGCAGTAGCAATAAAACTGAAGACAAATAACGGAACTTTGTTTTTTCCTGCTTTTCGTTGCTCTTGCTTCCTCTTTTTTTTCTTTTTCTTTAAGGAAATTTTATACGGTACTCTATTCCTGGCTCGACCCTTTGCTCGACGAGCAATTGACATTAAAAATTCGTCGTTATGGTAATTGTATACACAAAGTTACCTCCGCTCTATGATTTCTTCAAGAGAGTATGTTTCAGCCTTTCTGGAGAATGTGATCTTAAGAACATCGTTAGAACTTAGTTTCCGAATACGAGTCACGCGTACAATTAAATCGCGAATAATAATAATAATAATCCGCCGAAACTTACACGAAACATCCGCGAATCTGTTACACACGTGTCATTTTAAACGTACATTAATTCATCGGAGAGATTAAGCGACCTTGGGATTTCCGTGGAGCGGTAACGCATATATTTCGCCGGGACATTCCGCGTAAATTACTCTATACTCGCGGAACGATATTCAACAAGTCGTGGAGCAAGACGGGCAACGCGACTGACCGAATTTTGCCTAAAAAAATGTGAATCCGAATTCGCCAACTAGATCAAGCCGGAATGTGCGCAGAAGCGAAGTATCCGCATCTCTCTGACGACGTTCCCGTGTCTTTTTTACGCTCCATCGATCATTCAAGCGGGAGAAACGCGTGCTCGCAAGATCGAGTGTCACGATGAATTTTTCACGAACTGCACGTGACGCGAAAGACGACTTTCCAGCAACCGTCGGCTAACCGTCATCGGGAGTTTACCGCGTTCCGAACGTCGAGGAGATAATTTCCGGGCGAGGGATGAGCAAACTGAAAAAATAACGTATACGATATGTACGTGGATGATTGCGCTTTCACTTTCGATCTGCCGTTTCTACATCGCGATGAGCGAACTTTGAACGGCGAAACGTCGCCGTCGGATTCTTACTCAGAGTTTCTACCGCGAGTTACTTTGACAGATTGCTCTGTGCTAGGATAGGAAGAGGCCTGAAAGAGGCCGCACATCTCTTGCGAAGAGACCTTTTCTTACCCTTTGAAAGCTGGAGACGTTTCGCACGATGTCGCGCAACGCTGCGCGCATTGTTCATTCCTGCGCTTTCGTGTCGCGAATTCGCTATCTGGATCATGCCACTTAAAGATGCTGTAAATAACAATACCGGGTAGATTTACGGCGTGTGTTCTCGCGCGCGTTAGTAAGAAAGTCCTTATTGCGTGGCGAACTCGGTCACCGATTATACTGGAACGAGCGTAAGAAGAGTGGCGATATGAATATTCCTGTCACACACACACATACACATTAGTATCATCGCGTCGTTCATGCTCGACTTCTTTTGGCAACGGGATATTCGGGGCAAAAGCGACGAACTAACGCACTATTGACACGCCAACTCCCGGGAATATATATCCCATGGATGGAAGCCGTTGGTGCCCGCTGTTGCAACGCAGCGCTTTGTTATCGAGGTCAATAGTATAACTTGTCGCGCACAAAAGCTCAGTGGAAAAGTTTTCTCGAAGCATCAGCATTGCTGCTCCTAACGTTGTCGTTATTCACTAACCGTCGCAATATAGGCACTTGATGAAACAATCGCCTAATTATCTCGAACGGTATAGTTTGTTTAGCAGCGCGAAATATACGTGCAGAAATCTACAGGTAATTCGCACTTATATGTTCGATCCTCTACGAAATCCCACCGCTCATTAACTCATTAACTTGAGTCTTTTTTCGTCTCTTACTCACCAAAACACCCTGCAGTCAAGACCGCTCACGTTTTGCTCCAAATCTAGAACAGACAAATAGATTCGCCTATTAGATTTAAGAATTCGATTTAACAAGCGAGTGCAGTTGGGTAGATTAACCCTCCGAGATCGTGACTAAAATCATACCGGCATCTCAGTTTTCCTTATATCTCAGTTTCAAATCGCCAATGGTTAAATGGAGAAGTACAGAAACTTACAATCCTACCTTCGAATCGACCCTACTAGGCACGAATCGTATTCCCAGCAACTGCAGTTGCCTTCGTGATGCGGTCGCAAGATCTCAGATCTAAAACAATAATATAATTTTCCTGATAGTAAGTAGCGATAGAGAGTTTGTTCGATTCGGAATATGGAAGTATTTTTGGCGCATGGATATCGAAAATATATGAGGTGTATCTATCTTAAATATAATAAAAGTGAAATAGGATGGTTATCCTTCCAGTATCAGGATACTTCCATAGTTCATGACGTTCCCAGCAATATAATTACACCAAGTGTTGCAATTCGTCTTACATACATTCCAATAAATTTGAGATAATCGGAAATACCGCGCGACGTTACTCGATACGTTCGTCCATACCTCGAAAACTGTTATTAATTAAAATCTCCAATTAAAAAATCTACCTACATGTGTCGTAATTTAAAAAATAATGTAACCTTTGTGGCCAAGTGTGAGCACGTGTCGAGATATTATTTCGTGTCCTCTTTAATTATTAGGACCTTAACTTAGTTTCCGCCCGCAAATGTTAGATGGCAATGCAAACAGTTCTAGTAGTCATTACTAACGAAACAGGTAGTTTGTGATTAATTTCGACATTTCTCGATAACATTCAGTCAGCATACACAATTATTTTCCTAAACAACAATTTCTTTTGCTTTGTGAAAAATGGAACGCGATAAAGTGTTTTTTCG